ATGCACGGAAGAGTTTTATTCTTAAAATAGTTCTGTAGGCTAGGTATTTCTTCACTCAAATATGATGATTACATATTTCTCCATAAAGATTATTTAGCTTGAAAGAGTTTTTTTGATTAATACAACTGATGTGGTTAGATGGCCTAATATCTAAGAACGGCCAATGTCAGAAAAGTACAGTCTAGTAGTTTCCAAGAAAATTGGAAATGAAAGTAGAGATATGGAAGGCTGAGAGAATTATCTACCTCTGAACTTAGTATCAAAGTGAATTTTGCCATGCCTCAATAAATCATCTATTTTTGTTTAACACTCTTCTCCCTCTGAGTCTTTCAAGTTAGAGAGAGAATCTTGAATCAGCTGAGAAAAAAAAAAATGGAAAATTGAGAACACATTCTGTGGCTTAAAGGCAAAGCAATGAGTTCCATTCCCACTGTGTCCATGGCTGAGTAAAAGGGACAACTGGATCTTTTCTTGAATTTTGTAGTTTTCACTCTCAAAGGCACACATTTTGATTTTTCAAATAACTGTCTCCAATGATATGCTGATGAATTCCCCTTTCAACTGTGAAGGCTTCATTTATCTTTGCTCTATTCTACAATTTCTGTGAGTGTATATCACCAGAATACCCTTATTTAGTAGTTAGCCTTTGCTTATTTTCACATCTAATATTTTATTCTAAACTCAATCTGATACTTGATTTTTCCTCCTTACCTGAGGGAGGGCTACCTCCTTGGCTATGGCTCTCTGAAATAGAGAAGAGCCTGGTCTGGCTTTAGGATACTTCCTTCTTATTTTTTTTTATAGGCAGAGTGGACAGTGAGAGAGACAGACAGACAGAGAGACAGAGAGAAAGGTCTTCCTTTGCCATTGGTTCACCCCACAATGGCCGCTGCGGCCAGCGCATTGTGGTCTGTGCACCACGCTGATCCGAAGCCAGGAGCCAGGTGCCTCTCCTGGTCTCCCATGCGGGTGCAGGGCCCAAGGACCTGGGCCATCCTCCACTGCACTCCCGGGCCACAGCAGAGAGCTGGACTGGAAGAGGAGCAACCTGACTAGAACCCGGTGTGCCAGCACCGCAGGTGAAGGATTAGCCTATTGAGCCGCAGCGCCGGCCTTCCTTCTTATTTCTAAGCATGGGCTCTAGTGTGGCACAAAATTTGCCAGGGAGTGGCCTGTAGAAACAAGCTATTCTGTTTGTCCTGTGTAGGCTTTGCTTAATTTTGATCTCTATTCATCTGCCGTCTGCCCACAGACTGGTCTTTACATGCATGTCTCTGAGCATATGTCACCGAGTTGGGCATACTTTTTCTTAGCTCAGAAGCATTCTACCTCCCCAATGCTCCTGGAGGTGCAGAACTTTCGGCTCCAGATAAACAGTGAATGGGCCACCACTTTTTCCCAGGCACACAAAAACTACTTCCCGCTCTATTGCTCAGAGGGCTTCATCAGTCTTTCTTTAGAAATTTCTGCATCAGACGTGGATGCCACTCTTTAGTAGAAATGTATACCACTATTCCCATACACTCTAGCCACAAAGAATGAGTCAGCTACAAGATCTAAGTGACCAAGCCCTCGGATTGTTCTCAGGAATATTTCCCCCCTTCTGCTCTTACCTGGATGTCAGATGGGTGAGCATGTTCCGAAGTTCTACAGTTCTCAAGCTTGAGGACAAGATGCCAATGGCACTTTTTTTTAAAGGACACTGAGTGTTTGCAAGTGGCCAGTGATGGTAGTCATGGACCCTGCACGCTCCAAAAGATTTATAAACTTCTCAGCCCTCTTCTTATGTTGATCTCAATGAGGAGGCAAGAGCTTGGACAGCCAAGTTACCAAGGCTTTCAATTAACCCTGAGCAAAACTGGCTGATCTCACCTGGTCATGGTGATCTCAGCTTAGAGTGTTTGGCACTAAATAATTCTCTGCTTGTGTTGGTCTGGGATATCCTTTCTAGGATAATGGGAAATTTCTCATTTGATATTTGAGAAGGACTTGTTAGTAACGTGGAGATAGAATCCTCTTATGACTCATTCATTCTGTAACTATCATGGTGTGCAGAGGAAATAAATATTTATACTCTCATACTGATCAAATTCTTCTCATTGCTTTCATGGAGCATTTTGAGCTCATGTTTAATAGGAGTGAGTACAGACCTCTGCACTTCTCTGCTCTTCAAATACTACTAATGGAACAGGAGGGCAGCAGTACAAATTACTTTAATGAATATAAAAGGAGAAGTGCAATTCCTTTGACAGCTGAGAAATACTGAATTCTTAAAATTGAGTCATTAGCTGTCAAAACTGGAAAGGATTTTACAAACCATGCAAGCCAAATCATGTTTCACACTGCAGAAAACCACGTCTAGAATGGAGGAAGGATACGTCGAAGCTCTGTCAACCATTTTGGAAAGATGGTAATGGGAAACAAGATTTGCATGACTATAGAGGTTTACAGAGAAGTTTTCAAGTTGTTTCGTCAAATTGTCCTTTCTTACCTTTGTCACTGTGTGGTTTGTGGGCTAATCCTTTATTTGCGATATTGAAAGGTGTGATCCTCTTTGAAATTATTTACACTTAGAAAATGTCAATAGTAAAACATAATAGCACAACTTGGCAGGACATTGCATGTTTCACTGGGACAATGACACACTCAGAATAATGATAAAAATATTAATTTTTCAACACGGCTACTAGGTAACAAGTAGTTAGGGGAAAGCTAGTCAGTATCAACGCCAGGATAAAGCAGGGTCAGAGCCCACCACCTCCCTGCCCTTTCAGGTGTAGAGATGGGGCCTCAGAGAATCACTTATTTATGAAAGTATACCAGATGGAAAGTAGCCTGAAATTTTCATCCCTTGGATATAAAACCTACAACGATTCACTGCTACTAAGACCCAACAGTAAAACACTGGAAGAATTTCAGTATGAAAAGCAGCTTTTCAGACTAAAATATTATACAAGAGCAGAAAACCTGCAGATTCAGAAATTGGGGTAAAAGAGAGCTAAACCTCTTTGTAAAATGAAGACATAAGGTAGGTTTTCTTAAAGTACATAATTAAAATCAATCTGAAAACTTTTGAATGAAAGTTTTCTTTTCCTTTTTGTCCTTCGCATTGTTTTCGTAAGCAATAAACCTCACCTAGAATTATAAACAATGCAGATTTAAGGATTGATAGAGAATAATTTAGTAATATACCCTGTTGATTAATGGCTATCTATAACATGGCACCTTTTAAATTGGCTATAGTCTGCTTCGAATAATAACAGCTGTGTTCTAATAAGCTGACATCCCCATCATCCTGAAGAGGTCCTAGAATTACGCACCTAAAAACAGGGTTGCAATTATGCATTTGCAGTCATTTTTAATTGCTTTATTCCTAATGAGGAAGCATTATGAATTAACTTGCTACATTTGTAATGTGAGACGAAAACACCTCAATAAAAATAATGTCCTCGAACATTTGCCTCTCCACCAACCAAGTAGGGAAACATTATTTTTTTTTTTCTTTTTTCGTTTCATTAACCAAAGGTAGCCTTCACTCGGCTATTCCAGAAAATTTAAATTCCCACTTAAAATGGAATGTTCTCATTTTTTTCCTGGGATGAGGGAGTCACTAGGAGTAATTTGGATGACTGCAATGCTGAATACAGACAGGGCAGGAGGCCACATGAGTTTTTAGAGAAATGGAATAGGCAGTAAGTGACCCAAGTACAATAATACGATGTATAACTGTTTTGTGTGAAAATGGTATATTTAAAGTTTATTTACATTTATACTGATATTGCAAAAAAGATATACCAAAGCTACCAAGAGATGCAGAAACCCATCTAAGGGGTTTCCTGTCATTGTTGGGGACCGCTGAAAACGCAGTTCAGTAATAATTCACTGACCTTCTAACTAGGCCCTGACTTCAAACTGTCGGGTGTCTGGTGCTCCCTCCTCTGTCCTTTGTGAGAGTGACTACTTGAATGTCATGGGGGAAAGGTCTTCTTCTCCTAAGACCACAACTAGCATTAATGTGGATGTGGTGGGAGCTTGTCTGCAAATACAGGAGAACTTTCATCCCAGTTTGGTCACCTGAGGTCCACAAGCAGCACTCCTTTACAAAAGGGTATTAGGCAGGTTCCCTATAATTAACAGAACTAAAAATGTAAGGTGGGGAGCTGGAGAGTGGAGACAGAAAGAGAGAGACAGCGACTATAATGAATTGACTTATGTGATTATACAGGCTTAGAATTTCTAAGATAAAGATATATAGGCCAATGGTTAGCCTCAGGCAACAAAGGAAACCAATGGTGTAAATTCTCATCTCAACCTGAAATCAGGGGAGGACCAATATCCCATCATTGTGAAGATCATCAGGCAGAGAAGGGATTCTCTCTTGCCCTTTTAGTCAGCCTTCAGTGAGCTGCAAGAAATATGCAAACACTGGGGTGGGAAATCTTTACACAGCTCATCAATGCAAATGCTGATCTCACAGGAAAATCCCAACACAGATCCAAAGAAATGTTTAACCAAATACCTGGGCACCCTGTGGCCCAGTCACATTGGAACAACAACAACAAAAATCAACCACCACAAATTCCTTGAGGGGTTAGTTCTCTGTTTCTTATATCACATTAGCAACTTCTTTGACCTCAGTCTCAGATAATTCCTTCAGAACATGAAATAAAACTTCCTTTTCTCTATACAGAGAAATCTTTGTTTTCCTTAAAGGAGAAATGATTTTTTCCTTTAAGAAGGATGTTCTGTAATGATACAATATTGCTTATGAATCAAAACTCTTTGAACATATTCCATAGATAATTGACCTCTGGAGTTCAGACTTTCTGATTTAAATCTTCACTTCTAAAACTCTAAAATGTAGTTTTGCCCGAAGAAGAATAAATATCAGACCTAATGGCGAGCTTCATCTCTCTGGAATAGATTTGAAACTCATTCTCTTGGAGACTTCCTATCTTGAATCCAAATTCCAGGTATCAAAATGTAAGGATTTTACTCACCAACGTGTTCAAGAAGAAAGATCCCCCATGTTCTGTTTATAATTACAAACTCAGCTCTGAAACATGGGCAGGAAAAAAAAATTAATTCCCTCCTATAAAATTAATGCAGAGATTCACAGTATTATATTGCTAAAATATATTTCATGATTTCCAAGTATAGGCCATTTTAATTTTGAAATCCATAGTATTATGAAATACATATATAATATTAAAAATGGAATGTGATAATTAAGAACATGAGTATCATAAGATTTTCTTTCTCCTAGTAATATTGCCTGTCTGTGCCAATCAACTCCAGAGGCATTGCTGGAATACATTCCTGCTTTCTAGACAGTCCATTTCTTAGATTATTTGTTAATGACTTTTTGTCTTCTCCCTATGGTTTCAATTTTAAATTAAGATATGCTCCCCTAGGTGGCTTTTCTTGCATAATTTTCTTTACATAACACAGATATTCACAAAACCAATCCAATGCTGATTGAACTATAATAAAATTGTTAAAATTCTTATTTAAAATATGTTATACTGCCAGACTTCTTCCCTTAACTCTGAAAAAAGCAACACCAGAAAGTGATCCAACAAATTATCTATTTTTATTTCTTTATTTTATAAATTAGACATAGCATATGGAGGCTACAAGACATGTCCAAGGTCATCCACATTTGGAGAACTGTGACTAAATCCCACATGAACTGATTCTCCATATCATGCTCATTCAAATGAAATATTCTGTTTGTATTTTTTCCGATATTGCTAATTTTGTTAAGGTAAAATCCATGTACTTTAAGTTTGATATAGACAGGATTGCAGAAGATAAACTCACAATTTGCACTGACGTAGCAATAATTCACCTTCAAATATTTCTTAAGCAAAATTAAAATAGTTTCAAAACATAAAGTTTATCAATGTGGCATCAGTGTGGCATGAATAAATAGAGTATAAACATCTACCATTATTGTAAATATCCTGATATATTTGTGTGTGTGTGTGTCTACAACCAGTACCTTGAAGATATCAAAAAGTGAAATGGATTGTTCAATGATAGATGTCCTTCATCTAATTTTAAATTTCTATTAAATATTTCAGTCAGATGCATATCATTTTGATTAGCTACAATGAACTTTAATGTGCAGAAACAGATTGCTATAGAAAATAATATACAGGACCTTAAATTTGCTTTTATTAGCTGCAAATATACAAGGGTGAATGCATCATACTCTTATCAAGATCCTTCTGGAACAAAAGTGAACAAATCCAAGGCAAAATCAATCCATCAATCTGTTGCAATAAAGAAAATGAAATGATGTAATAATGGAAAAAATTGTTTGCAACATTTATAGAAGACATGCAGTGATGGCATCAGCTAAAAGGCAAAAAGAGCTCCCTTTAGGCTAACTCATGGTAGAAAAAGGGCAACAGAAGACGTGGGACCAGTTTACCAGAAGGAACTCCATGAATTTAGCACACAAACACACATACACACACAACCACCTGCAATCATATATGCACATGACATACAATCATACACACATCACATTTTAAAGAAGTTTAAACACATAAAAGCTTGTGATTCCACCTATCTTTATTCTTTTATTTTAGATGTTTTCATTATTTGTGTTGTGCCGTTTTTACTCATTACTTCTAAATTTTCAATCTCCTATTTTGATTAATTTTTCAGGATGCTAATGACATACAAGAAAGCAGATATTTCATTCAGAAAAGGTTCATGATTAATTTCCTGAACATTTGTGTTTCTCAAAATATCTTCACTTTTAGTCTTCATATATGAAGAAACAAATTGCTATAGGAAACAATATATAGGGCCTTAAATTTGCCCTATATATTATTTAGTTGACTCCCACACCAACTAAAGTCTTTCATATATCAGAGGGCACTATATTTTCTAGGGCTTTTAATAATACAAAGCAGCCTTTAACCAGATTCACTTTGCTTCTTAAGCAAGTAAGCTGTTTATTTTGGTATCTTTGAGTGCTTGCTCCTTCTTTTTTGTGTGCTTGAAGGATTATTGGATTATGTGTTAGTTTTTTGGAAGTTAAATATGTATATAAGCATGTACCTGCATTTGTAATGGTTTCAGACATGGTCCATTTTAAAATAAATATCCTTAGTCCCATATTATATCACTTCATTTGATTTTTCCTTCCAGACACATCAACTATTCTAAAGTTTTTTTTTTTAACTTTTATTTAATGAATATAAATTTCCAATGTACAGCTTATGGATTACAATGGCTTCTCCCCCCCATAACTTCCCTCCTACCCGCAACCCTCCCCTTTCCCTCTCCCTCCCTCTTCCATTCACATCAAGATTCATTTTCAATTCTCTTTATATACAGAAGATCAGTTTAGCATATATTAAGTAAATATTTCAACAGCTTGCACCCACATAGAACACAAAGTGAAAAATACTGTTTGAGTACTAGTTATAGCATTAAATCTCAATGTACAGCACACTAAGGACAGAGATCCTACATGAGGAGTAAGTGCACAGTGACTCCTGTTGTTGACTTAACAAATTGACACTCTTGTTTATGGCATCAGTAATCACCCTAGGCTCTTGTCATGAGCTGCCAAGGCTATGGAAGCCCCCTGAGTTCACCAACTCTGATCATATTTAGACAAGGTCATAGTCAAAGTGGAAGTTCTCTCCTCCCTTCAGAGAAAGGTACCTCCTTCTTTGATGACCTGTTCTTTTCACTGGTATCTCACTCATGGAGATCTTTCATTTAGGTGGTGTTTGTTTTTTTTTTTTTGTTTTTTTTTTTTGCCAGAGTGTTTTGGCTTTCCATGCCTGTAATAACTCTCATGGGCTTTTCAGCCAGATCCAAATGCCTTAAGGGCTGATTCTGAGGCCAGAGTGCTGTTTAGGACATCTGCCATTCTATGGGTCTGCTGTGTATCTCACTTCCCATGTTGGATCATTCTCTCCCTTTCTGATTCTATCAGCTAGTGTTTGCAGACACTATTCTTGTTTCTGTGATCCCTTTGGCTCTTAGTCCTATCATTATGATCAATTGTGAACAGAAATTGATCACTGGGACTAGTGAGATGGCATTGGTACATGCCACCTTGATGGGATTGAATTGGAATCCCCTGGTATGTTTCTAACTCTACCGTTTGAGGTAAGTCAGCTTGAGCATGTCCCGAATTGCACATCTTTTGCCTCTCTTATTCCCACTCTTATATTTAGCAGAGATCACTTTTCAGTTAAGTTTCAGCACTTAAGAAGAATTGTGTATTGATTACAGTATTCAACCAAAAGTATTAAGTAGAACAAACAAAAAAAAATACTAAGAGGGATAATTATTAAGTTGTTCATCAACAGTCAGGGTGAGGGCTGATCAATCACCGTTTCTCATAGTGTCCATTTCCCTTTAACAGGTTTCCTTTTTGGTGCTCAGTTACTTGTCACTGATTAGGGAGAACATATGGTATTTGTCCCTTTGGGACTGGCTTATTTAACTCAGCATAATGCTTTCCAAATTCCTAACAGGGATCACTTTTTCAGTTAAAATTTAAACACCTAAGAATAATTGTGTGTTAATTACAGAGTTCACCCAATAGTACTAGAACGAAAAAAAAATACTAAAATGGATAAAGTATTACATTGTACATCAACAGTCAGGACAAGAGCTGATCAAGTCACTGTTTCTCATAGTGTCAATTTCTTTCGCCTATTCTAAAGTTTTAAAACACAAAATTTATCCTGATATATTATCTCTTGTCCCATAATCTCCACCTTCTAAAGCTTCTTCTCTTATACCAAAGTATGTTTATTACAATCAGCCTCTGCTAACTCATTTCATTTTCTGCTGTGTCAAGAATTACATTTATTCTATCGTAAAGGATGTTACTTTTGGCATTCAGATATTCATGATATACTTTCGTCTTTTTTTTTTTTTTTGAACAACATATTTTTTTCTATCTTATTCAGAGTAAGAATTTGCATTTTTCACTACTGTTCTTTCTTAGACTTCCCTGGTATTAGTACAAAAGAAATACCAAGGAAAGTTTGTTCTCTGAAAGTCATTGAGAGTAGTCTGATAAAAAATAATAAGCAATTTTCTAAATAGAGCCATCTCTTAAGGCCCTAGCAGAAAGCTGGGGATTTGGGTGAAAGGTGAGAAAGAAGTAAGAGTAGAAAAATTGGTAGACAGGAATTTCTATCTGGTGTAGCAATCCCAGTGACCGTCAAAGGCCATACAAAGAAATAAAAAGGAACATCTATGATGGACTTCGGGATGGGCTCTAAACCATCCTGCCGTATTTTCTCCGCAGCCCCTTCTTACCTTCCAGACCACAGAGCTTTACCATATCCACATAGAAAAATTAAGTTGTAGTTTAAGTTTCCTCTCTTCTCCCTACCTAATCCTGAAGGTACTTCTCCCGCAGACTAGAGAATATTATAGATTGCATAGATTAGGAATAGAAGTCCTGAATACTGTTTCTCCTGTTATCATCTTATCCAGAATTTTCAAGATGAATGATAAACTAGTACTTTACAGAGGAGGAAAAAAACTGTGCTAGCAATTCCAGTAGAGCTGTCTCAAAACAGGAAGGTGCAAGCTACATGAGTGTTGTCAAGTCTGTGTAAACCTTTCTTCCTATACAGAGTGTGTTATCATCACTCTGTGGGCAGAGTGCACAATCAGGAAAGCATGCATATGAATGATTCCTTGGTAAATACTGCAAACCACTGTTAGAACATGGGCAACGTCATGCTGGCCCGTCACATCAGGAAAGCTTATAAATCTCTCCGACATTCATTCTGAAGAATGAATCTCAAGAACATATACTTATGGAATGTTGACAGAGAATCCAGATTGCTACCCGAGCTGTATGGAATACAAATGAAAGCATTCCCATTTGGTTGTACTGGAAAGGAAAAGTACATGTTGTGTTATGCGTAACAATGAGTCAGAAAACTGGAAACATAAAACAATTTAAGCTATTTTTGTGCCAAAGAAGACTGTTGCAACACAAAATGAAGTGAAACAAACATGTTTAATTAGAAAATTGATGTTATGCATTTGAGG